GAGGTGAAAATTCAGCTGCACCAGCGTGATATTTATAAATTACTGATATTAAATTAAAAATACTAATTAAATAATTCTGAAATAACAGAGTATATTAATCTGATTGAAGGTCGTCGTTTTCTGTTTCTGTAACGAACATCCTATGAACTAATACGATAAACAAAGAAAAGTAATTATTTTTTCAAAACTTTACATATGTCGGTTCATTTCTATTAGAAGAAAGAGTATCATAATTTCCACTGTCACGGTTGTCGTTGTGATCTGTAGATGATTCTTGTGCTAGTACGTTGTTGTTGTACAAGTTACAATGACCAGTCGATGCATTATAAACTATCGTGCTTCTGTCTTTACTAGACCTGAAAATACCACTTGTTATAAAGATTTTAAATGGGAAACATAGGACTTGTCAGGCAAGTTATTTTTCAACTCCACTAAAACACGAAGTTTAACAGTAAACTTACTTACAAGCCGATGTAAATTGCCGGATTTTTTTTTCTTTTCATGTCGCGTATCTGTGGGCAAAGTCGAACACCTGTCACGTTTGAATATTTCTATCGTATTTGATGAAACGAACCTCGATACAGGTTTTAGCTGTTGGGGACCGTTCTAATCAAGCATTGTCTATTAAGATAATGTATAGAAAATGTCTTGAAAACTTAAAATTGCTGTTTTTTACATATGATTCTAAATTGACAAAAATATTGTTTTTTCAAATTGAATCAAATTAAATCAACCATCAGAATTTACCTTAGCCTAGAAAATAGCATTACTCCACACACACCAATACAGATACCGATAACAAAGCCTAAAGCTGTACCCACGATGATCCAGGTTGGATTAATTTCCGCTGAAAAAATACAATTCCTAACATAAAAATGTCAGATATGATATATCAAATCAGCATATTGTTCTGTGAAAGTTGAGATATTATATAAATGTTTAAAGTTAACCACATATAAATTGTTAATATACAAACTAGACTCCAGGACGTGTATACCTGCTTAAATAAAACTGGACTGTTCGGGCTCATCTTTTGAAGCGGTCCTCGGTGTGAAAAACAGTTAGGTAACTAATTTGTTCAGATTATCACGTACATAATGTGGCTGCGATATTTTCTTGTGTGTGCACGAATGTCAGAAAAACTCTCTGAAAGATCAGAACCTTGTGCTCCTCCTTACGTTTATAGGTTGTCGATGTATACGAGTGAAATTGGTTTCATTGGACGGGTCTCTGATACAAGGATTTTGGCAAGACAGTAGAGTCGTGCGTACACCCATCTTTATTATGGTGTATTGCTTGTTTTGAGTAAGAATGCTGGATCTAAAAAGGCAATACCTGGTTTAGTTGAACCATCAATATTTACAGGTTTCTTTACTGTACAGTCCAATCCCTCGTAACCATCTTTACAGTTACACGCACCATCTCGATTATTACAGTCATTCTGGAGAGTACAGTGTCTGTTTAAACAATTAGATGTACAGTCAGGTCCATAAAACCCCGGACGACATTCTGAAAGGATTCATCATACAGTGTCAGTGTGCGTTGGAGATCCGCATAGTAGCCGCTAAATCTCAACATGTCGATGTCCTCACCAATACCGCGTGCCAATAGCAAACATATTTATGCCGGATTTAACGATATTCTGCGATTGGTAATACATAACCAACCATACCGGCCTTTATAACCTAAATGAGGATACAGTCCTGACCTATATAACCTACATTAAGATAACCTTATCTGTTATACAGCCCCGACCTTTATAACCTAAATGAAAAAGAATAACCTTACCTGCTGTACAGTCCTGACCTGTATAACCTACACGAGAATAACCTTACCTGTTGTACAGTCCTGACCTGTATAACCTACATGAGAATAACCTAACCAGTTGTACAGTCATGACCTGTATCTCCTACATGAGAATAACCTTACCTGTTGTACAGTCCTGACCTGTATAACCTACATGAGAATAACCTTACTTGTTATACAGCCCCGACCTTTATAACCAAAATGAGGATTACCTTACCTGTTGTACAGTCCTGACCTGTATAACCTACATGAGGATAACCTCACCTGCTGTACAGTCCTGACCTTTATATCCTACATGAGAATAACCTTACCTGTTGTACAGTTCTGACCTGTATATCCTACATGAGAATAACCTTACCTGTTGTACAGTCCTGACCTTTATATCCTACATGAGAATAACCTTACCTGTTGTACAGTCCTGACCTGTATAACCTACATGAGAATAACCTTACCTGTTATACAGCCCCGACCTTTATAACCAAAATGAGGATTACCTTACCTGTTGTACAGTCCTGACCTGTATAACCTACATGAGGATAACCTCACCTGCTGTACAGTCCCGACCTTTATATCCTACATGAGAATAACCTTACCTGTTGTACAGTTCTGACCTGTATATCCTACATGAGAATAACCTTACCTGTTGTACAGTCCTGACCTGTAAAACCTACATGAGGATAACCTTACCTGCTGTACAGTCCTGACCTGTATAACCTACATGAGAATAACCTTACCTGTTATACAGCCCCGACCTATAAAACCTACATGAGGATAACCTTACCTCTTGTACAGTCCTGACCCGTATAACCTACATGAGGATTACTTTACCTGTTGTACAGCCCAGACCTGTATAACATACATGAGAATAACCTTACCTGTTGTACAGTCCCGACCTATATATCCTACATGAGGATAACCTTACCTCTGTGCAGTCCTGACCTGTATATCCTACATGAGAATAACCTTACCTGCTGTACAGTCTGACCTGTATATCCCATGAGAATAACCTTACCTGTTGTACAGTCCTGACCATGAGAATAACCTTACCTGTTGTACAGTCCTGACCATGAGAATAACCTTACCTGTTGTACAGTCCTGACCATGAGAATAACCTTACCTGTTGTACAGTACTGACCTGTATAAGCTACATCAGAATAACCTTACCTGTTGTACAGTCCTGACCTGTATATCCTACATGAGAATAACCTTACCTGTTGTACAGTCCTGACCTGTATATCCTACATGAGAATAACCTTACCTGTTGTACAGTCCTGACCTGTATATCCTACATGAGAATAACCTTACCTGTTGTACAGTCCTGACCTGTATATCCTACATGAGAATAACCTAACCTGTTGTACAGTCCTGACCTGTATCTCCTACATGAGAATAACCTTACCTGTTGTACAGTCCTGACCTGTATATCCTGGCTTACAACCGTTTTTACATGTTCCTGTTTTTGCATTACAATCTTGCGACCCTTCACAATTTCTGTCGTGACATTGTTTTTTACAGCCAGCTCCATACATATTATTGTTACATTCTGAAGAAGAAAATGTATCTATCACAAAATATACCACTACAAGCTGTCAACCAAAAGATGGTACTTGAACACAACAACAAATGGAACATGGAAATTTTAAACTTAAGTAAAAAAACTTTCATTAAATATTTGGTAGTAACCTGAAAGATTTCCATAAAAAAATCATCAAAATTTAACTCGTCATCAATGTACATTTTGCAAACAAGTTTCATCAAAAACGTTCAAACATCTTAATCGCTTTCACAATGTTGGGAAGAGCATAAGCCTAGAAAGAATTTCGAAAATGAAATGAGTTCGAAATTTATTAAGTATACCAAATTACGTCAAAATTCCCATTGGGTGAGTAATTATTTTATCTAATTTCAGATCAGAAAAGAAGAAAAATACCGATCAGTTCCAGACCGTTCATTCCCATATCTCAACGACGTATTTGTTCCATTCTAGGCCTGTACATTTGGGAGAACCAAACCCTTCCCTTCCCGAGATCCTACAATATCGCATGAATCAAGATAACCATTCACACTGTTCACATGTGTTTTAAGGCAATGTATGTCGCAAATTGTTAAATCCAACTCCATATCAATATGCATAAGCCACAATAAAAAACAGGGGTTTAAAGATTATTTTGATATGGCATACAGTTTAGATTGTTTGACTGCATGATTTTGTACTTTTTCTTGGACATAAATTTAAATTTCACTAAAAGATGAGACAGGTTTGAGAGTAAAGACTCTATTAAAAATGTATAAAATGGATACCCCTAAATGCTAAAATCAAGCATACATAAAATATCAATGATTAAGGGGTTATCCAACAATTACGTCCTAAAGAGGACGAAACACAAGGACGATACATTAATACTGCGCAATCCAATGCCAGCTCACAGCAAGAACTCCAGCCAGCAACTAATAATAATGCTAGGTAAACACATGTAGGGCGGGGTTGCGTTTGGGCGAGTAGTTGAAATATGAGCTCTAGCAATACAATACATAACACAAATTACTCTGTCCAACAACTCGCCCAAACTCAAACGTGCAATACATCAAGGGGTGAACTTTAGTTCATGTCCGCAATTGCTAGTTCAAAAGTAACGCTAGCAGCTGATGTACTTTAAAATAGATCATACTCATTGTTAAGGAACCACCTCAAGTCCCACATAATACACCTTTGGCTGTAACATCAAGCAAATATTATTTTTATTAACAGATCGAGGGGTCGGGTGGTAAGAAATAATACAGGAAATCAAGAATGAAGCAGAACTAACCGTATTGGTCGATCTGGTTAACATATACGTGGATATCATTTAATCGACCAAACACTGCGGGACCAAAACGTTCCAGTCCAACAGTACCTTCAACATTTAATTTCATCACTGACCTACATGTGGAAACAAACAAAAAACGTGTTACAGATATGAATAATTATATAATTGTCTTACAATGATTATACAAACCAAATATCAAATCGGCTTGTACAGTGAGGCTCGAGATATTTCAGGTCACTTTTTGCTCTTATTCTAACGTTGACAAGCGATACTCAAAGAATTCGGAACCTTGGTGGAAACTTAGATGAAAACCCAGAAAAAAATTGAAAAGAATTTGTGTAAATTGTAAAATGTAAAAAGAACATCTGAACAAATTTATTTGTTAACTTACTTCTGAGTCCAATCTGTGAAATAAATGTTATTGTCATGGTAGGCTATACCAAAATAATGTGCTTTGGAGGAAAACATTAGAGTTCTTCTTCTTGAGCCTTCTGTTGTAGCTGTTTCTATTTTCTTCGTGCTGGCATCCGTCCAAAACATTCTGTTTTCTGTTGATAAAAAGGGAGGTTATTATTATTACAGATTACATTTTAGTTTTGAAGACAGGTACAAATGTTGCAACCGATAAGCCAATTCTATATAACAGGTAAGCCAATGCTATATAACAGATAAACCAATGCTATATAACAGATAAACCAATGCTATATAACAGATAAACCAATGCCTTATAACAGATAAACCAATGCTATATAACAAATAAACCAATGCTATATAACAGATAAACCAATGCTATATAACATATAAACCAATGCTATATAACAAATAAACCAATGCTATATAACAGATAAACCAATGCCTTATAACAGATAAACCAATGTTATATAAAAGATGAACCAATGCTATATAATAGATAAACCAATGCTATATAACATATAAACCAATGCTATATAACAAATAAACCAATGCTATATAACAGATAAACCAATGCCTAATAACAGTTAAACCAATGTTATATAAAAGATGAACCAATGCTATATAACAGATAAACCAATGCTATATAATAGGTAAACGAATGCTATATAATAGACAGGCCAATTCTATACAACAGATAAACCAATGCTATAGTTTATTCCATTCATGAGGGGAAGCGAAACAGAAAGCTCTTTCTCCAAATCTCGTATTGGGTTGTTAGTTGTAGTAGGTTTGATGATCTGAGTGAGCGTTTAGGAATGTATAGCTGTATAAATATGTAAGTTAGGGTTGAGAATTAGGGTCGTTGAGGCAGTTGTAGGTGAGGGTGTTGATTTTAAAACATATTCGATAGTTGATAGGTAGCCAGTGAAGATCTGCAACGATAGGGGTCATATGTTCTCTGATATTAGTTCTTGTGACGATTCGGGCTGCTTTATTTTAGATTGAAGTTGGTGTATAAGGTATGATGGTAAGCCGTATAACAGTGAATTTGAATAGTCTAGTGCAAATGTGACGAAAGCATTAATTAACATTATGGTAGTGTTGGTGTCTAACAAGTTTCTGATTCTACCAATTCGGTACAGGTGGAAGTTGGCAGTCAACAGATGACATGAAATCGTTGTACACACGAACTAAGGCTGACTGGGTGCTATGACATTTTCGGTAGGCTGATTGGAATTTTGCACCCAAACCATTTACTGCAGGTTGATGGCATACACGCAACAACCTTTTCAATAAGTTTTGAGATGATAAGTAAGAACGGCTATAATTCTTTAAGTGATGGTTTTTTGAGTAGTGGGTTGACGAGTGAAGCCTTTCGGACCTCAGCTGTTGATAGTGAAGTATTGACGATTGCTGTAATAAATGGTAGAAAACTTCTAGGCACTATTTCAAGAACCAAGTTGAGATAGGATCCTAGGGGCAGGATTTGGATGCAGAGGAAGTTATTAACTTCTTTATCTCAGTCTCAGAAACATGTTGAAATTCAGCGTTTTCCATTGAATGTTATGTCAAGTAAGTGTTAGGTTGGTTATCATCAAGCTTTTCTCTTAAAGCAGATATTTGTTGTCAAAGAAATCGGAGAAGGTTTTGGTTGATGAAAGATTTGATGAGTGAGAAAGCTGCAAAAGTTTATTTGTAATATTAAAAATTTCCTTAGCGTTTCCTGTGTTTTCATTTAATTGCTGTTGGAAATGATGTTTTTTCGCTGCTGCAACGACGTTGTTCGTGTTTGTATGAGTAGCATTGTAAATCTGACGATCAACTTCAAGTTTTGATTTTCTTCACCTTTTTTCGGCTTTACGACGAACTTTCTTTGATTGGCGAATGTCATTGTTATACCATTTAGCATTAGGTCGTATGGTTATTGTTTTTGATTGAATTGGGGCATGAAGGTGAAGTCAGTTAATACCCTGTCGTATATTTCAATTTGTCTGTTGGTGCAATTTTGTGATCTTATTTCCTGTAGTTCAGCATTATTTCTGATCACGAAAACTGTTTATATTTATGTTTTTTGTATTCCTTGTTTCAAGGCATTTTTTGATAGGACCCGGTTTTGGAATATCAAGCTCACAAAAACGCTATAGTGATCGGAGAATAGATGGTTTACAACATCTATTGACTTGATGAAAGTACCAGTCTCTCTTGTAATTACCAAATCTAAGATATCGTTATGTTTATGCGTTGGTCTATGAATGTGTTGCTGTAGATTGAAGACTCTAAAAGATGAACAAATTTCGAAAGAGTATCTGCACCCGAGTTATGAACATGGAAATTGAAATCATCCAGTTTAATTAGTTTTCCAGAATCAGTCACTTTGTCACTTAACAAACTACAAAACTCTGACAGGAACAATGTTAATCTGTTTGATTTTGAAGGTGGAGGACGATATATAAATATTATTACAGATTACACTTAAGTTTTGAAGACAGGTACAATAAGCCAATTCTATATAACAGATAAACCAATGCTATAAAATAGATAAGCCAATGCTATATAACATATAAACCAATGCTATATAATAGATAAGCCAATGCTATATAACATATAAACCAATAATATATAACATATAAGCCAATGTTATATAACAGATAAACCAATGCTGTATAACCAATTAGCCAATGCTATATAACAGATAAGCCAATTCTATAACCAGTTCTACCGTTTTATCATCTACCTACGTTTCAAACAGACAACTTTGTTAGAACATAATAATAAAAAAAACAAGTACTAACGATCCGAACCAAAAAAAAACGAAACTCAATATTAAAATGTGCTGGATACACAAGACTATGCTCAAATTTTGACAGGAAGCTGTGAATATTATAACGGATAAGCTTAGCCTAACAATTCCCGTTTCTGAGACCACGGCACGACTGACCTCTGAGTGGTTAAGTATTTGGGTCTGGCAAGGGGACTGATTTACAACTTGAGTTGCATCCCGAAATTTCGAATGGAGTAAATCGGTTTCCCTCTCTAATAGAATTGGTATTATTTTTCACCAGAGACATACTTACTTTTTAAATCCAAAGCCAAACCATTGGGCCACCTCAACCCTGTAGTAATTAGAGATTTTTGATTATTTCCATCATAATCAGCCGTTAGTATCTTTGCATTTTGTCCCCAGTCAGTCCAATAAATTTTTCTAAAATTTGACATAAGTTAGACTATGTTTAAAAATAGCTTGGATAAGATAAAACATATTTAAAACAGATATTAAAAATATACTTCGACAATTTACGTTAATATACCAAGTTATCTCAATGCTTCAAATCCAATTCAAATTCAAATTCAAAGCTCTAAAAAGGGTCAAGTTGACGGTAGTGAAAAGCTCTGGAACCCGTTTTTCAAAAAATCGCAGATTAACGTTCGAGCGTTAACGTTATAAGTTACTGATTTGATAACGTCACAAATAACGTTTTTCGCCACTTTACGTGCAAGTTTAATCGAACTTATTTTTGATAAAAGGGGTCCGGGCATCCAAAAATTTATTTGTTGCTCCAGAACAGTTTTAAATTTAATCGAAAGTTTAAGCACCCAAAAATTCTTTTAAACTCTATAAAGAAAACTTCAGCATGTCGGTGCAATAAATTTTAGAGAAAGTAATACTTTTTGGTAGTGTCGAGTACTATTGCTCTAGGTTCATCCAGCCCACTTTTAATTATCTCTTGGTGAGAAGATCCAGTCACGGTCATCTTAGCTATTACATCATTACCAGTATCAGTGTAGAATATCAGCCGGTTAAGAGAATCAACAGCTATACCATCCGGTATTGACACTACAAATAAAGCCAGGTAACATTAGATTTATTGTATTACCGACCTGTATACTATATTAACTATTATTATATTCCCGACCTGTATACTATATTAACTATTGTTGTATTCCCAACCTGGATACTATATTAACTATTATTATATTCCCGACCTGGATACTATATTAACTATTGTTATATTCCCGACCTGTATACTATATTAACTATTATTATATTCCCGACCTGGATACTATATTAACTATTGTTGTATTCCCGACCTGTATACTATATTAACTATTATTGTATTCCCGACCTGGATACTATATTAACTATTATTATATTCCCGACCTGGATACTATATTAACTATTATTATATTCCCGAGCTGGATACTATATTAACTATAATATTCCCGATCTGAGTAATATATTAACTATTGTTGTATTCCCGACCTGGATTCTATATTTACTATTATTATATTCCCGACCTGGATACTATATTCACTATTATTGTATTCCCGACCTGGATACTATATTAACTATTATTGTATTCCCGACCTGGATACTATATTAACTTCTATTGTATTCCCGACCTGGATACTATATTAACTGTTGTTGTATTCCCGACCTGGTTACTATATTAACTATTATTGTATTCTCGACCTGTATACTATATTCACTATTATTGTATTCCCGGCCTGGATAATATATTAATTATTATTATATTCCCGACCTGGATACTATATTCACTATAATATTCCTGATCTGAGTAATATATTAACTATTGT